TCTCTCTTATATATGTATTAGAGCTGTGAGTGAGTTGGCTTCTCATATCGTGGTGCCATGCACACATCGTCGGAATTTGACAGTTAGCTTCTTCTATCCAAGGAGCTAAATATAACAAGGAGAGGAAGCGGATTGGCTGTGTGCTTTTTGCTTCAAGGGCGCCATCTATGGACCATAATCAGCTGAAACGGCTGTGCAGACCGAACCCAGAGACAATAGTACACTAATCTGTTCTAGGGTCTCAGCCGAACCCAAATTTGGGCCGGATATGGCGCCGCTTCCTCTCCTTGTTATATTTAGCTCCTTGGATAGAAGAAGCTAACTGTCAAATTCCGACGATGTGTGCATGGCACCACGATATGAGAAGCCAACTGACTCACAGCTCTGATATATATCGAAGAGAGATGTCCTCGTAAATTTCAAGTCGAGCAAAACCGAAATGGCGGCGTAATGTAAGAATGCAATAACGTAATCGTGACAAATTAAAAAATGACATAGAAAGAATGAAGGAGGATGGCGGGAGAGAAAAAGGCAGGCAGAGAGAACTGACAGACAGACAGACAGACTGACAGACAGACTGACAGAGATGCAGACAGACTGGCAGACAGACAGACAGACAGACACACACATATAAACAGCAGGGTACGTATATCTACCTATACGGCCGCTTCATCACTTCAGAGTTTTGCGTGCTCGCTCGCTGGAAACTGTTACTTGGTGCACTTGGTCGTGAGCTGAGCGCCCCCTGCGGGGCGGAACTGAAGTTGCCGGTCGGCCGAGAGTTGGGCGGCGCGCCGGGCGGGCCGTAGCCGCTCGGCGACAGAGTCATGTTCGTCTTGTGCGACGATATTGCACCAGAGTTTGAAGAGAGCAGCACACCGCTGGACATCTCCCTCGGCTTCTGGGGAGGTATCACGGAATTCGGTTTCTTGGTCGTAATCTTTCGGCCGTTGTAGAGTCCGCTCGCCTTTATCACTTTTGCGCTGCAGAACAAGACAATATGCTACAATGTACAATCGATAATGAAAACAATGATGACACCGACAACGACGATAATTATGACATCAATGATGACGATAATAATGTTGTCATTAATGTCACCAATAATGACAATAATTATGATATCAATAATGACGATAATAATGTTATCATTAAAGGGACAGTAGCCTCTAGGATTTTACTGCATACAACTGTACTTACTGTATAACAAATCGTCTATACCCACACGTATTTGTTACCAG